AAAAAAAAAAAAAACCAGTTGCCCAAAAATAACTAACAGCAACCTGCAATTTGGATAATCTCGCAAACAATCATATAAACAAAAAAAAAAAAAAAGTGGAGCTGGGTTCTGGGTTCGACGGAACCCAGCAAATGGGTTTTGTCGAACCCAGATCTGCTAGGTTCGCTGGAACCCAGGCGGGGTTCCGTCGAACCCAGCAAACTGGGTTCAATGGCCTGCCGAGGAAGAAGAGGAAGAAAGAAGAGGAAGAAAAAGAGAAAGGAAGAAGACGAAAGTTTTTTATTTTTTATTTTTAAATATAAATAATGTGAATTGGCATGAAAAAAAAAATCCACATCAACACATTTTTAATTTGTTTTTGCCATGTCATCAAAAAAAATAATAAAAAATGCCACATAAGCGAGTTAACGATTGAAATTAACAGAAGGATTAACGGAGTGCATTTTTTAAAGTTTAAGGATAAAAAAAGTGTAAAAAATTGTTGAGGGACTAAAAATGTGCAACTCACTAAAGTTGAGGGACCAAATTTAGCATTTAACCATCAAAGAATTCATAAAATGTATAAGGAATAAGAAAAACGTGAGAAAGATGGGAAGGATTGAAAAAGAAGTAAGAAAAACGTGAGAAAGATGGGAAGGATTGAAAAAGAAGCGAGAGAAAAGAATAATAATGGGAGATAGAGAGAGATATATAGGAAGGAAGGAAGACTTAATTTTTTATTTTTAGATTTAAAATTTTTTTCTTAAAAGGACAATGAAACAACGACAATATTATTTTTGTATAATTTTTTTATATAATTTTTATATATTATTAAATAAGTGAATTTGAATGCACTTAATATCATACATTCTGAATGAATAAAAAAAGTTAGTAATTTAAATGACATGTAAAATTATACTAAGAGATAGTGTAAAAAAATTATTCCCTTAATCATTTTTCTTTTAAAACTATTTAGGACATATAAATAAAACATTTAATTTTTTTTAATCGCTCAAGCCTCATAGTTTTTGGGGAGTGGGCAATTCGGACCTAGACACAACAAAAGCATTTGGACTGATTGCTCGGGTGCATAAATCTTTTACTAAGAATGCATAAACAAAAGAAAGACTTATAGTTGTTACAACTTGATTTAATGCAAACACTCGTCCTAGAATTCTACGTACGGTGGTTATATAAATATCCTTACATGTGATGTAAGGCGATTAATTAAATACAAGTAAACAGCGACTTAGGACATCTTATTTTCAGATGAACATTGATATTCAGCGGGAATGAGCTTAAGAGGCACTTTCTTATGAACAGTAATTCCAGCTTCCTCCTCCATGCAGATATCTTCCTCTGTCATCCCTTCCGGCATTTTCCAATCAAAGCAATACAAAAGATTCGCAAGTGTCAGCTCCACTATCGCGACCGCCTTACGCAAGCCCGGACAAATTCTACGACCACTGCCGAACGGTAAAAACTCATAATTCTGCCCCTTGAAATCAAATGGACTATCCAAGAACCGTTCGGGGTAGAACTCTTGCGGGTTTTCCCATACATTTGGATCCCGCCCGATGGCCCAAACATTTACTTGTATTCGGGTCTTCCGGTCAATGGTGTAGCCCGAGATGTTGAATCGGGTAATGGCTTCTCTCGGAGCCAGCAATGTCACAGGCGGATGCAGCCGCCAATTTTCCTTCACCACCGCCTTCAGATACGCAAGTTTTTCGATGTCAGTTTCTGAGACTTTACCTTTGTTCCCAACGCTGTTTCTTAGTTCTTCCTGTGCTTTCTTCATCACTCGTGGGTTCTTTGCCAGCTCCGCCATGGCCCAAGCCATGCTTATGGCAACGGTATCGGATCCGG